TGCCATTTTGGAGCTGTTTTTCACAGATTTCTTTGTTTTCCCAGGAGAGCTGGAGCGGCTCCAACCGGCTGCACTGCAGCACCTGGTTGTGCTGTCCCACAGCCATGGCCAGGAGTGTGGCTTTGTGCCGGACATCCAGCTGCCAGCACCGGGCAGTGCAGCCCCGCTGGCTTGGGAGTGCGTGGCTGGACACCGCTTCTCATGGGGTGGCTCTGGGGTTCCCAACAGCCCCTCCCACGACCACCTGAAAGCAGGCCAGGGATGCGGCCCCTCCCTGGGCACTGGGCGCCGGCATTCTCTCCGTAGGGCCACATTGGGCTCCAACGAGGCTGGAGTGGAGGGAACAGCCAGGTCACCTCATGGTGACAGGGACTGGAGCAAGGAACTAAGAGATGGTGATGACAGTGGCGGCACAGGTGAGCTCCTCCAGAGGTGAGCTCCTCCAGGTCACCTTTCTGCCTTCAACTCCTCTTGCTTCCCTACCTTCAGTCCCTCTCCCACTTCTAGGGTAGTTCCAGTTCCACCGCCATCCCACTGGGATCAGACACTGCCCCAACCCCATTGACCCTTCCAAGAGCCCTATCCTTCCCAACTCTCCATCCTTCTCCTTCTCACCTCTCCCAACCCTTCCTCATCACCCTCCTGTCCTCTTCCAGCCCCCCATACGCCACTTGGACCAGGGCCTGCGGTGGCAGCTGGCAAGAGGTGAGTGGTGCCACCTACAAGCATCCCCTGGTGAGGCCAACAGTTGCATTTGGCCCTGTCTGACCCAACCCTGGGTCCCCAGCGTTGGCCAACGTGACTGTCTGTGGTTGAGCCATCACGGCAGAATTGACCCAGGTCGTTGTCCAGTAGCGCCGTCCCTGGGGACAATGTAGAGCCAGGAGCTGAGCCCCGAGAGGAAGAGGAGCGTGGGGACTTTGCCGATGCTGATGACTTGGCCTACACTGATGACCTGCATGATGAGAACTACCACCCATCCCTGGACAGGTGGGAGAGCTGTGAGGGAGCCTGCAGATTTGGATCGTGTGGGAACCACTCCATGGTGCCTGCTAGCACCGTCCCAGTCCAGACTAATATTGCACTGGAAGGGTTACGGGCCTCATGTCTCTTCCATGTGCTAGTCCTGCTGCAGCTGCCCTGGCAGAGTGGGGAGGAGGTGGGAATAGTGTCCATGTGGGGCTAAAATAAGGTGTTTCTGGGGTCAAAGAGCACAGAATTTTGGAGACGCATTTTCATTGTGTCTCACCTGGGGGAGAGTCTTTGCCATCCAACTGATGTCCATCCATGTCATACCATGCCCAACTGTGTCCAACCCATGTCCTGCCATGTCTAACCAAGTCAGTCCTTCCATGACCAACCCATGTCTAACCATGTGCAGCTAACTCATTTCCTACCACATCCAACCCATATCTCACCCCATCAACCACCCAAGGCCCCTCACCCACCCCGGTCTGTGTCCCCAATAGTGACTCAGAGCCACAGCGACACCAGGGCCAACCCAAGGCCCACAAGAAACCAATCAAGGAGGAGCCGCCCCTGCTCAAGCCGCCCCTGCCCAGCTCTGGCCCCTTGGAGGAGAAGAGCGGACGGGTCAGGTGAGTCGTGGCAGCCACAGAGGCGAAGGGATGAGGAGATGGGGGCCAAAGTCATCGTCTTGGGAGTGTCCCATTAGGGTGTCATGGGTGTCCCATGCTGTTGGCCACGGGGCAAGAGCTGTGTCTCCAATGGAGGTCAACCCTCCCCATGACGCTACTGCACTACTGACTGCGGGGCAGAGCCAGCCGCGTTTCTTCGTCTTGTTGGGTGTTGAGTGAGCAAAGAGGGGTCTGGCTCACAAACGTTGCTGCAGGGGCTTCATGAGCCTCGTGTCACCCACCCTGTCCCTCGTGGGGCCGGTCCAGCGCAGTCAGGGAACAAGGAGAGGCAGCCAAGGCTGGGGCTGCCATGGAGGGGGACGAAGACCCCTTGATATACCTGTGGTGAGCACTGAAGCCTCCACCAGACTGGAGATGGAACAGCCCAAAATCCATCCATCCATCCCACCACAATCTCCTCTACCAATGGATCCGTGACTTCTCCAGCAGCTTTGGGGGCCTAGTGTTGGGTTTCCAGCTCTCCTTTCCAGGCATACAGAATTCAATGTTTTGTGCTAAAAATCTCAAATCGGCCCTCATGAGGGCTTTGCACAAGTGTTAAAGGGATGTTGGGCTGGCGCTTTGTGCATGGCCTCAGATCCAACATACACCTCACCTGGATGGATTTTCTTACACTTTTGATACAATAAGGGGGTAAAATTCCCCTTTTCCCTGGAATCAGCCAAAACTCCTCCATCTGTCCCCTGAAAGGTGGGCTCAGCGCCAATCCCATCTCAAACCTTTCCCCAGGTGAGTGTTGTGCCACTTCCTTACAGCTTTGATTGGTCCCTTTGAGCAGCTCCTTTTGGATGCTGAATGCCCTCCCCTCTCCTGGCAGCTCCAGAACCACCCTGGATATGGCTGGAAGAGGGATCACCCTTCCGGGAGACCCAATCTCAGCGAAGGTAACAATGGAATTTGCTCTTCCCCACTCCCTGTCATCACTGGGCATGCAGATCCCAGGCTCCCAAATCCAATGAGAGGGTAGAAGAGTCTGCATTCAGTCTGGCCCATTCTTTTTGGGGCCAAAAGCGACTTAAATGTGGGGGTTTTTCTGACTTTTTTTGGGTTCTGCCAGATTTCCATCCCATGTTCCATGGTCTTGCCCTCCAAGTATGTCCAAAGTTACACCTGCAGGCTGGTGGCTTTTCTGTGGCACCAGTGGGGGCTTTGCAGCTCTCAGCCCCCTCCTAAAGCCAAGCCTAAGCTTCAGGTTGGCCCTTTTTGTGCTGAGTGCGGTGACACGGATTGTGTTTTTCATCTTTTGGTTCATTTCCCCCCCTTTTGTCACAGCAAATCGAAAACAGGAGATAAATCCTGGCTCAAGAGAAAAGCAGGATCTTCCAGATGTCAAAGGGTTCCTCCTCTTCTCCCTTCCCCAGGTAAAGCTACCCTGAGCTGTTTTCAAGGGGTTTGGGACAAGCCCCAGGCTGAATCCATGCTTGAGCATTGGCATCTCTTACCATCCCATTATTTCTCCTCCCCAAACCCCACTTTAACCCACTTTTAATGGCTCTTTCCTTAATTCCAGGGTGACAGCTAAGAATAGCTGCTGTTTCCGGGGAGCTATGGATGAATTATAGATCAAACCTGGCTGGGAGCCAATTTCAGTGTCCTGAGACGCATCCAAACCATGTGAAAAGGGTTTTGTAACAAGCAATAAAGAATTTATTCTTACTTTAACGCCTGAACGATGTGTTTGTTCCAGCATGTCCTGCTCCCATGGGGAAATGGGATGGAAATGGGAAAAATGCTGGTCCTGAGGATGACTTACTGTGGGATTTCCTCAGGAATCTTGGCTCTGGGCCTGGGGACAGCGAGGGGACACCAAGGCCTGGCTCAAAATGGCTCTTTCCTATTGCAGTTGCCGGCGGCAGACACAGGCGAGTGACAAGGACATGGCTCAGATCGGCCCCAAGAGAATCAGGTACCTGGGAAAGGGGAGGGAAGGGGCTAGGGAAGCTTCCAGGCATTCCCAGGAAGAGCAGGAGGAGGAGCTCAGCTCTTCCGTGAGGGACGGCCAGAAGGCTATGAAAGGGTTTCTTTGCTTCATTTACAGATTTTCTTGGGGGGAAGAAGTGAAGGTGGGTGAGGAGGAAAGAGCTGGGGGCAGATCCACATTCCAGAGCTTTTCTAACCCTCCTCCTCCTCCTTCCTGCCAATGATTTTTCCCATGTTTTCTCTGTCAGGAAGGCGGCAAAGCGTGAGATACTCCTGTGCGACTTTGAAGGCTGTGGCAAAATCTTCTCCAACCGCCAATACCTGAACGTGAGCACCTGCAGGGACCAGCACTTCCTGGAGCACTGGGGAGCCTGGGTGAGGTGTGCTGGAGCTGGAACTGGGAGCTGATAGGTTTTTTCCCCTGGCAGCACCACCAGAAGTACCAGCATGTGCACCAGAAAACCTTCACTTGCTCTGAGCCCACCTGTGGGAAATCCTTCAACTTTAAAAAGCATCTGAAGGAGCACGAGAAGCTGCACAGTGGTGAGTGGGGCATTTCCACGGGAATGACACCTCCTCCCCAGTGGGTTACATCTCCCTGGACATCCTCCTGTAGGAGTTACAACTCTCCTTTATAGATTGTGGTTCCTTTCATAGGGATCACACCTCCTTTCATAGGGATTACACCTCCCTTATGGATCGCACTTCCTGTATGGATTCCACTTGCTCCCTTCAAATTCACACCTCCTTCGTACCCCCTTCCCCACTGGGCCACAGCCACCCATTCCCAAATTCCCATCCCTGGGAGCCATCACTGTTGCCCTTCGGTCCCCAGATCTCTCCTTTATCATCTCCATTCCCGTGCTGGGAAATTTCCCTGCTCCCAAAGCACGTGCCGAGGGCCCTGATGGTTTTTCTAGGCTGGATCAGCCCGATTCCCTTTTCCTTTTCTCCCAGACAAGCGGGATTACATCTGTGAGTTCTGTGCACGCTCCTTCCGCACCAGCAGCAATTTGATCATCCACCGACGGATCCACACTGGGGAAAAGCCACTCCAGTAAGTCCCAGTCCCATTTCTGACTTGCCAGTACATCATAGTCCCACCCCCGCCCTTCCAGTAAATCCCAGTCCCATCCCTGCAGCTCTGCTCAGCCTCTTCCCACCCTTTTCAACCCAAAATCAGCTCCTCAGCACGTGGCCAAAAGTCAGGCTGCGATTTCTCCCGAGGTTTCTGCCCTTGGAGCTGGCTGTGCTCAGATCCAGCAGCTCCAGGGCAGTGTTTAAAGTAGGCGCAGGTTAATAAGCTGGGACAGAACAAAGGACTCCTGTCCAACACATTCATGCCAGGAGGGCGCTGGAACTTCAACCCACTGCACAGTCCAGCCCCGAGCAGGGCAGGGCCGGTTCTCCCTGTGCCTCATCCCTGAGGTTTTTTACTCCTGCCGGGATCTCCCCCAGGTGTGAGATCTGCGGCTTCACCTGCCGCCAAAAAGCCTCCCTGAACTGGCACATGAGGAAACATGACGCCGACTCCTTCTACCAATTCCCATGCGATGTCTGCGGGAAGAGGTTCGAAAAGCGGGACAATGTCACCGCCCACAAGAGCAAGAGCCACCCCAGGGGGCTTGGGGGACCCCCCCAGCCCGAGGGAATCCAGCAGCATCCGGAGCCCCCCGGGTCAATGGAACCTCTGGAGCTGCTTGGGAACGTCCTGGGGAGTGGGAGGGATACAGGGAGGACCCCACAGGAGTACGGCGGGGGGGATGTTGGGCAGGATCCAGGCATGCCCCGAGGTGAGGGGATGGGTTAGAGGGGGTCCTAGTGGGCTCATCCCCCAGTTTGGGGACTGGAGCAGAACTGGGGATGATGCTGGACCCTGCAGCCGCTCCAGGTGCCAAAAATACACGGGCAAGGCAAAACTGGGGAAAATCCCAGGTTTTCAGCCAAATCCCAGATGAACCCCCAAAGTTTTCAGCCAAATTGCTGGAGCAAATCCTAGTTTTTCTGCCGAATCCCAGCTTCCCCTGACCCCAGCAGTATTGCCACAGGTGGATCCTCAATAAAGACTTATTTTGGGTAAACGTGGGATCTGGTGTCAGATTTTTATGGAAAAGGTATAGAAAAGTGAGACGGCACAGGAAAAGAGGTTTGAGAGGGGGTGGAAACACCACACACCCAGGAACTGGGGACCCAAACTGGGATGAGAGGGAGTGCCCAGAGGGGCTGTGCTCCAAAACTGGGAGCTCCCAGTGCTTCAAACTTTTCCTTTAAACTTTATTTAATTTTCATTTAAAACTCAGATTTAAAACAGAATTTGAACTTACAGATACTTGGAAGCTCTAAGCTGGGACCATTCAGTGAATTGCAAGTGCCCCCAGAACCCCAGCATGTCTCTGTCTCCATTCCCTCCTGTGCAGGAGCAGCTTTTCCTCCTCCCCCAGCACCAAAAACCCCAAATTATCGGGTTTTAGGGTTTTTTTGCACAGCAACTTTTATTTCCCCACTAACAGTGACAGGGCAAAGGACACGAACAGCAGCAGTGGGGAGGGCACAAGGGGAGCGGGCAAGCGCAAGATCACACCTAGAACACAGACCCA